TTATCCTTTAGTTTATTATAAGACAATTTATTACTATTAATTTAAATGAATATATATGTTATCTCATTTTGTCTTATATGTCATATGTCTTATCCCAGTTTATTTTATGCATTGTATTTCCTCACATTTTACCAGGTTTGCTGTTAACTGTTTGATATAGTCAATTGACTAATCAATAAACTTTTAACTAACTAACTAGAAATAATGCAATTTGATACCACTTTAACTATCATGGCTCCATCCTATGGAATCCTAGGATTTGCAGTTTGTTGTGGCACCAGAGCTCTCTGACAGACAAGGCTATATATCTTGTAAAACTACAAATCCCAGAATTCCAGAGCATTGTGCCATGGCAATTGCAGTGACGTCTACCTGCATTATTTCTGCAGTGCAGATGCAGCCCTTGTAAAATGGCAAATCCCAAGATTTCAAAGGCTGGCACTGCAGCTCTTGAAGTAGTGTCAAACTGCAGTGTAGATGCAACCTGTGACTTCTAGATTCCCCCAGTCACTTTATTACCAAAAATAATGGTAATTTCTCCAAGCTCTGAGACCATTATTAAGCAAGTTGAACCTGCCTGTGTTGAATTCAAAGCACTTCTTACTCAAAAGCAAAACCAAACATTGCCAAAATTTGAGCTGCTTACAATGCTCAATCCTCTCAGGATCTACAACTCTCTATCTATTTTAAATTTGTAAATGGTCTTGAGTCCCATTCGGAGGGGGGCATATAATAAATAACTATTCTGCATGTTAATTTAGATACAGCTTGATCAAACCTGTGAAGACATCTAGAGATATGGTGAAGTTCCAAGAAGATTCACACATCACTTTTTAACAATGAAGGCAGCTGTGCTGGTTAAGGGGTTCTGGAAGTTGTAGTCCAGAAAAGTAACTTTTTCTAAGCCCTGTGAATGCAGGTAGTTGAAGACCCTTGTTGTCAATATGAAACCAGGTCTATACATACAATAGAAGAAGGCTGCAGCCACACAGCAGAATGAATGCAGTTTGACACCACTTTAATTGCGATGGCTACACCCTATGGAACCCTGAGATCTGTAGTGTAGAGATCTTTAACAGAGAAGGCTAAATAGCTCACAAAACTACACATCCCAGAATTCCATAGTACTGAACTTCTTTTTCCCAATGAGAAAATCAGTGGACAATTTTGCTTGCCATTATTGTCCCAAAAAACAAGCAATGACTAGCTGAGAAACGGGCAATTTCAGGTGTAATCTAGGGATTTCTTTCTCAATTCACGCAAAGCAATGTTGAGGCCTCGACCAGTCAGAATGCATCACTTGTGCAAAATGAGAGTATGATGCAAAACACTGCGTAATCCTGTGCAACACACAAGCTCATACCAGCTAAAAGAGTAATAATAATATTGTGTATACAACGTATGATGCTCCTTGTTCATAGACCAATGCCAGTCCACATGCTACTAGCTCCTCATTCTTTGAAAGTTTCCAGGAAAGAACGAAACAGTGGTTGTCAATTGGCACAAATGTAGATCCGATCACTTGAATGTCTCCCACATCAAAAAGTTTAAGATGCATTGCACTACAACATGAGTAACAACCAAGAGCACAGCAGCATTACAGTCCAAACGCTCACAAGAGCTACAAATTCATCAGGTATAAAAAATGCTATCATTCAGCATAAAAAGCCAGCTCAGTGCCAAAACCCACCCTTGGGAGAGTGCTTCTGAATTGAAATTGTTGTTGTGTGCCTTCAAGTCTTTTCTGACTTAAAGCAACTCTAAGGAGAATGTATCATGGGTTTTCTTGGCCAGATTTGTTCAGAGAAGGTTTGCCACTGCCTACCCCTGAGGCTGAGAGCGTGTGACTTGCCCAAGGTCACCCAGTGGGTTTCATAGCCAAGCAGGGGATCGAACCATGGTCTCCAGAATTGTTGTAGTCCAACGCTAGGCTGATCATATTTCCCTGAGACAAAAACAGGACATTGGCAGGTTGGCAAAAATGTGACGGGGGTTATGTAATATTCCATATTCATGAAAAAGTAAGATAATAACGAAAGTTTTATTACATAAACATATTGTGTTAACAATTATTCTTCAGTGGCAGAACTCATACAAAAATTTAGGTAGGCATATTTCATCATGATCATATCATGGATATCTCTCTGATGAAACAGAGGCTGGATGGCCGTCTATTGGGTATGCTTTGATTGAGAGTTCCTGCATGGCAGGGGGTTGGACTGGATGGCCCTTGTGGTCTCTTCCAACTCTTTGATTCTATGATTCTATGAAGTAATTGTACATGGCAAATTTTGGTCTTTCAACACCTTATCATGAAACTTCTCACACACCATGACACCTTTTTCTTTCTTTCTTTCTTTTTTGGACAACCACAATTTCAAACCAGGATCTTCAAATCAATTTCACAACATAACAGGGCATTTTTCTTGAAAACGAGACAAAGTTGGCATTTATATTAAAACAATGGGACGGTCTGGAAATATGAAAGAAAACAGTACTGTCCCATTTAAAATGGTACATATGGTCAGCTTATCCAACCCTGAAACCACTACACCATTCTGAGATGCCACCCCTGAAATGGTCCTGTGCTTTGGCACTCACTGGCTCATCTTTAAAGCAGGGTGACTTGGAGAAAGGCTTTAAAATATTGTTCTATTTTGTTGGACCCAAGGGAGGAAAGGCTTTCTGTCACACGTACCTCGGTCACAAGCTGTCCAGGGCACTAAAAGTTAACAATTAACATTTGACTTGTGTTCAGAAGTGGACCAGAGATCAGAGCATTTGTTTCAAGACTGGTGTAAAGTGTGACATAACACTGAACATTTCAGAGATGAAAACCGGGACCTGTGGCCAAACAACACAACAGTTTGGTCAATATGACAAAAGTTATTAATAAGGAAAAACACACAAGCTAAGAGAAGCTATAGCAGTTTGCTTTTGCCAGAGCTACTGGGAAGGACAAGATTCTACCCATCCTTTCCTCTCCGCTGAGTTAATCAAATGCAAACTACTTTTGCACCCTGAAATTTTGCATTTTGCAACAATGGAAGTACAGCAGTACAACCCTCCACATTTGCTGGGGTTAGGGGCACAGGACCCCCATGAAAGTGGAAAAACCATAAATTAAAAAACACTGGGGGTGGAGTTGGGGCAGGGTGACCACATGCCGGCCACCCCAACTCCGCCCTGATGCTGCCGTCACTCCGCCGAAGCAACCGCAAAGGGGGCGGCAAAAAGGTGCATCTTCGGCACAGCGTTTACACACGCTGCGCCAAAGAAGAGGCAAAAAGCCACTGCCGCCGCAAGTAGAACACCTTTCTGCAGCGCAAAAAGGAGTCACTTTTTGCAGTTTCTTTTTGCGCCGTGGAAAGGCCAGATCAGGGCTGTGGTGTGTGGTTGCCGTAGCCCCAATCCGGCAAGGAAAGGGGCAGTGTCCTGCCACCTCTTAGGGGCCATCTGTATAGCACCTAAGAATCTCTAGGTCCTCCAGCAGAACTCTGCCAGAATTTGACCATAGAATCATGCTGCAGGACCTACAAATGCTTAGAGAAGGGTTTTCACTAGTAATCTCTAGGTCCTCTAGCGCAACTCTATGGCCAACCTCCAGCAGAGTTTATCCGGAGGGCCTAGCAATTCCGAGAGAGAACGTATTAATCAAATCCACAAATAATCAAATCTGCAAAAGTCAAAGCCGCAAACGTGGAGGGCCGGCTGTAAGTCGAAGACAAAGGAGGAAAGAAGGAGAAGAGGGAAACCACATGATTTTAAGAGCAGCTGAAAAAGTGGGACAACAGAGGATTAATTGGAAATGTCCTTGCTAAATTGCGATGCTTGTTGGAGATGGTGTATCCAAATGTCACCATGGTGTAGTGGTTTGAGTGTTGGAGAAGGACTCCAGGAGACCAAGGTCTGAATCGCCACTCAGCCATGGAAGCCCACTGGGTGAGTTTCAGCAAGTCACACTCTCTCAGCCTCAGAGGAAGGAAATGGCAACCCCCCTCTGAACAAATCTTGCCACAAAAACCCCATGATAGCTTACTTGAGTAAGTGGGGGATGATTTGAAGGCACACAACAACAACTACGTTAGATCTGCACCCAGTTGCAGTCAATTACATTAACTGCTGTATTTTTTTCCGTCGAGATAAAAATGTTTGGAACTATTGATTTAGATAATTTTAGATTGGATGGATTTATGAAGGAGAGAAGGATGGAGATATGGCTAAATAATATGTGAGTAATAAACTATGAAAAAAATAATGACAGTGGGATGAATCACCATCTCCTTTGCAGATACCTAGTTTGACATTATAGAGGCTTGGAAGGCATATATATTGCTACCTGTATGCAATTATGAAGACAAATCACCTCATAACATGAGATCTTTTTCATGAGGATACGAAGCAAAGCAAATTTAATTATTATTATGTATCATCTTATTAAACATTCTATCAAAGGTAAGTACTTTACAATCCTTAACACATTCATTTTTTACAACATCATCATTAGCCTCATTATCGTCTCTTATTTTACAAATAAAAAACCGACGGAAAAATCCTATACACGTCAACTGGGAAGAAAGTTCCACTCAGGTGAGTGAAGAGTGTTTTCCCATAAGTAGATATAGAGTTGCTGCAGTACCAATTCACAAGGAAATAATTTATCAATGAACTCCGTAGGACTTCCTTTCCAGTATACACATGCACACAATTGCACTTTGAGGGACACAAACTAAACATCATTCAGTTTAAAGCATAGTTTGAGGCAAACCAGAACCTTTTCCAGGTTAATCAGGTTGTATTTAATAATACACTTCTCTCTGTGTTGCAACTATTTTGTCGGATTTGTGATCACAGTTGTTGTTGAGTGCCTTGAAGACTTTTTCAACTTTTTGCAACCCTATCACTGGGTTTTCTTAGCAATATTTGTTCGGAGGAGGTTTGCCTTTGCCTTCCACTCAAGCTGAGACAATGTGATTTGTCAAAGGACACCCAGTTTTCGTGGACAAGTTGAGATTCGAACCCAGATCTCCAGAACTGTAGTCCAACATTCAAACCATTATACCACACTGGCTCTCTGACCATAGTTACTGTGGCATAAAAGATGGAGTAACAATGACTTTTTAAATATAAAAAAGTACCTTGCTAATATAGATAGCATGCCAGATTGTAAAATTGAGCAGGCTGTAAAAAATTTGCAATCCACAAAGCCAGACACACATAGCAGCTCAGTGGCCTTGACAAAGCCAAGGTGATCTACACTGCACAATTTTAGTACAGTATTCTAATACCACTCCATATACCACAGTTCCATCCAAGGAAACCCTGGGATCTGTAGTTTTATTAAATACTTAGCATCTTTTCCCATAGAGCTCTGGTGCTGTAGTTCGGGGCAGGGAACTTGACCAAACTACAAATCCCAAGACTTTGTAGAATGGAGCTACAGCAGTTTAAATGGCATAAAACTGGTATATGTTTGTACTGTGGACACGGTTCCCTTCCTGGGTCAGCCTCAAAGCTAGAGTGAAATCAAGTACTGGTCAGGCCACAATGTTGTTGTTGTTGTTGTTCTTGTGTGTTTTCAAGTAGTTTCTGACTTAAGGAGACTTTAAAGCAAACCTATCATGAGATATTTGTATCACCTATTTGTTCGGAAGGTTTTGCCTTTACTCTCCTCTTAGGCTGAGAGAGTGTGATTCCATAGCTGGGTTTCCATAGCTGAGCAGTGATTTGAACCTTGGTCTTCAGAGTTCTAGTCCAATACTCAAGCCTCTGGCAGCAGATTTAAAGACAGAAAATTAAAAGGATAAAAAAAATAATTGCTATATTAATTATCTGTGGTTGAGTCTCCTCCTTTGGAGATTTTTAAACAGAGGCAGGATGGCTATCTATATGGAGTGCTTTGATTGTGTATTTCTGCATGGCAGAATGGGGTTGGACTGGATGGCCCTTGGGGTCTCTTCCAACTCCAACTTCCAAATTGTAAATGTTAAATGATGAATTTTAAATATACATTGTGTCTTATTTATTCTTTTAAACTGGTTCATGTTATAACTGATGTTGTGTTCTTAACTGATGTATATGTGTTGGGCTGTTGTTGTTCCCCGGCTTGATCCATGGGGAAAGGTGGGTAAGAAATCTGTTGTTGTTGTTGTTGTTGTCATATTGTATTTTAATGGGTAATAAACTTCTGGAATTTTCTGTCTGATGTGCCAAAATAATTTGACTATCTTTCGTGTTCTGGATCTCGACTTTGGTAAGTTAGAGTTAGGTAGCATTTACTCCCGCGTCTCACTCATCTCAGATCAGCCCTAAAAGTTTATTATTTTTATTATTTATTTCAAGGATTTATATCCCATCCTTTTCCCACAATGGGATTCAAAATTGTGCAAATATTTTTTTAATGGCCAAATTGGAAAAGCAGCACTCCCACGTCTTCATTCAAATGTGACCCCCGGGGGGGTGAATCCACATTAATTTCTAGAAGTCAACATACAACTAATAGAATATTTTGAAAATGGATAGAATATTTGGAAAAAGAACCTGTTAAGGCGAATGAGGGTGGCCTCAAAAGGAGATCCCTAGGGGCATGACCACAGCAGTCACTGCGGAGCCAGGAAATAAAAGCCGAAAGAAGGCCAGCTGGGGAGAAACCACGAGAGATAGATGCCATTGCTGCAGGGAAGGCAAGGGAAGGGGAAATTGTTCTAGAGCTAGGCATTTAAGCACTTAGCTCTGCCAAGTCAGTAATGGAATAATATGCCGGGCAATGTGTGCCAACAGGCTTTGGGAAAGCTTTCCTTGTTTGTGAAAGTAAAAGCAGCATCCAACATATTTTAGTATCTGTACACAATTGACATTTACAGGAGAAGCAGCAACCTAGAGTTTGCACTGCTGCGACAATGGTCCATTCTTGTGTCATCTCTCAACAGCGGCGCAACTGCTGCCCTGTGCCTTCTTTCCACACTGCTCTGGTAACATCAATGCTTCCAGCTCATAAAATTCAAAGATATATAGCTGTGTTAGTCTGTAGAATCAGTATGCAGGGAGATCTTGTCGCACCTTTGAGACTAATTGAAAGAAAGAAGTTGGCAGCATGAGCTTTCGTAGACTCAAGTCTACTTCCTCAGATGCATTTACACTTTATGCCTCAACCACAAGTAGGCCATTCAAATAAAAATACCAAGTTTATATAAATAAACAGTTTTCAAGACAGTGCTCTCACCCTGAATTTTCTCCCCATAGACCTGAGGATTGTAGAAGAGGAACCAGGCCCTTTGAGTCTTTTGAACTGCCAAGTGGTTATCTTCCCACCCTACTTTAAAGCACTGGCCATGAATTATTTCACTGTTAGGCATGTGTTTTGTTGTGTGCACACAAAAAGAAGGTATAAAACTTCTCCACCAGAAAGATCCCAGATATCATTTCAAACAGAGAAAACAATTAGATATGGGTAGGAGATGCACAGCAAGAGGTGGAGAGGAAGCAAAGAAGGAAGGAAGGAAGGTTGGTTCAAATATCATCATGTTCAACAACTTCTGTTCTCACAGGTTGCAGAACCATCTTATAAATGCACAATACATCATTCAATTCTATGGCTTTCAATTGCTCAGCAGATGCAGAGAGACAACTAGCCTTCCACTTTTTATCAAATTTTACAATTGACGGCAGTTGTTCAATGGGAAATTCAAAAGCAAAGGCGTAAATCACTTGCTTGTGCCAAAGGGACCTCAATCCAATTGCTAGCCTCGACTCGTATAAACAAATGGAATCAACAGAATCAATGTAAGTGCTGACTTACCCTTCGATAATTGTTTCAGTGTGTGCCTTTAGAGGGAAACAATATCCACCTTAAGTGATCAATAACAATAACAATATTTATTTCTCCCTATGGATCGAGGCAAAATTGAGGAATTATCCTTCAATTGGAATTATCATGGTTATCTCCCAAGAACCCCAAGAAATGCACTGTTATGAGGACGCTAAGGATTTTCTTGAAACCCCAAAATTGCAATTTTCCTTGGTTCAGTAAAATAGATCACAACAGGAAGGGCAAGCCAGCCTTTCTCCCTCTCATTCCAAAAGTCATGTTGAAAAGTATGTTTCAACCTGTGTTTATTAAGTTAGAATCAGGGAATCACAAAGTTGGGAAAGACCCCATAGGACGCCAAGTCTAAATCCCTGTTCAACGCAGGAATTCCAGCTGGAGCACAGCCAATATGTCGCAATCTAGCCTCTTTTTGAAGATGTCCAGAGAAGAAGACCCCACCACCTTTCTAGATATATATATATATATATAATTTGTTCCATTGTTGAACTGCTCTTACCATCAAGAAGCTCCTTCTAATATTCAATTAAAATCTCGCCTCCTGTAACTTAAAACCATCAGAACTGGTCCAGCCCTCTGGAGCAGAAGAGAACAATCTTGTACCTTGCTCTCTGTGACAGCCCTTTCGATATTTAAAGAATGCCATCATGTCATTCTTTTGTCTTCTTTTCACTAGGCTGAACATGTCCAACTCCCTTGCACAGTTTTTAGACCATGTTCCCACTTCTTTATCTCCATCAAAAATTAGACTGATAGCAGTAGAAATGTAAGACAGAACCAGGTTTCTTTTTCAAACGGCAGACTGCTGCTTTTAAAGACTGAGTAAACAAGAAAGAGAAGGTAACCACAATCATATTAAACTGAAGAAAAAATGTAATGAGCTGAAATGAGTCTTAACCATTCCAAGATTACTACTATAACTGTATTAGAAACTGGCAAGTAATAGTTTTAAAAATGGGACTTGCTTAGTAAGACAGGAAGTTTCAAATAAAATCAACAGGTAACAAAATTAGTAAACGTTTTGCTTTATTTGCTAGAACTGAGAGAAAGCATTATTCCTGTTTTTTAATAGTCAGATCTGTTCTTTGTGTCATCTCATAGAAGGCACTACCAAACTATTTATACCCTCCAACCACCCTGATTTGGAAGCACCAGTCCCAATTAATCCTCTTTCATCCCAATGTCTGGGGCACTTTTAAAAAGTCCCGGTTTTTCTCTCCTACCATTTTCCCTTTTTGTCCTCCTGTTATTTCCATTGCTGCAAAATGAATTCAAAATGCAAAAGTAGTTTGCATTCAGCTAGCTCAGCAGTGGGGAGAGGAGAGGGGCAAATATTGCCCTTCCCAGGAGGCTCAGGCAAAAGCAAATTGCTGCAGCATTTCCTAGTTTGTGTGTTCATTCTCATTATCTTTTGGCATCTTGGCCACACTCTGATGTTGCTTTGCTATATATATATCCTGGTTTTCACCAGTGAAACGTGGAAGGTTTGAAGAGCAAACTCATAAACTGAAAGTACTATACGTTAAAGCACAAAAGCTGTCTGGAAGAAGCTACTATTGATTCTCGGACCAATCTCACAGATAGATTTTGACTCTCTAGGACATAAACTGACACACATCTGAAAGCAAGAAAAGGTCTCAGCAGTATCTAGATGTAAATTCTTCATGGCCTCCTGGATTTGGCTATTCTATGGACTTAACATCTGGTACTTCCATGGGTGTAGGTCAAGCATCAGTTCCAACCACAGTTATTAAAAATGTTGTCAAAGCAGGCATGCAGGCAAGGTGGCTGGAAACCACATTTCCCTTTGAGTTGGAGTTGTGGTTCTAGAAACTAAAGTGACTCAAAGTTTTCTTATAAGCATAAACCATCTCATCACTGACTTGCATCTTACTTTCTTGGCAAGGTCAAGTGTGACTATTCAAAAGATGGAGAAAATGGCTGAAATAAATGCCAGGACCAACCACGTTGTCTATCGGACCTTCAGAGATGGTCCTCAAGGTAGAATATCTCAATGGCATCTCTGCTTACCTGGTAAATTTAACAACTGACAGTTTGGTGTCCTTTAAAGGGACTTAAGCATTTGAATTGAATGTAAGAATTGCTTCAACCTAATGTTGAAAGTTAGAGCTTTGCTCCAATGGCTTTTTTGTCACTTTACAGAGATGCAAATGTAGATATGGAACTTTATGTTACCAGGTTGTTATTCTCTTTGGAATAATTATTTCTTTTGTAAACCCCCGCAT